CTGCCTGCTTGTGATCTCTCTCTGTAAAAATAAATAAATAAAATCTTTAAAAAAAAATAAAAAAAAATAAAAGGAAGACAGAATGAAATTTACAATATTGGAAAAGTTCACAGGTCACATTTATAAGTATTATTAATATAAAAAATGTGGTTTTCGAACAATGGCATATAGTCCTATGTTATTTATGAGTCAGTCCTTGAGTGGTGTGACTGCCATGTCGCTGTGAAATGGAGTAAGCACAATGCTTAATGGATTTAGCTCCAGATTTACTCCAGATTTATTTCTTGATAAACTCACTGGTGCTCAGCAGAGACAAAGCTGTTCTAGAATTTGCACTGCCTAAACACATGGAATCAGCAGATTCCGGTATCTAAAGAGAACAGGGGCATCTGGCTGGCTCAGCTGGTAGAGCATGCAACTCTCGAGGTCATGAGTTCAAGCCCCATGTTGGCATGGAGCCTACTTAAAAAAAAATAATTAAAAAAATAAAGAGAACAGATATAAAACTCTTTAGTCTTTAATACTGAAACTGATTGAGTCTATTTGCAAGTAGTTGTTTCAGACAATCAACAAATATTTATTAACTGCCTAGGATACTCCTGAAGGCCTGTGGGAGAAAAAAAGAACTATCAGATACACCTGGAGAGATAATGTATTCACATGACATTACAGAATAGCACAGTAACACTTTCTTTTTTTTTTTTTCTTTAGATTTTAATTTATCTATCTGACAGACAGAGATCATAAGTAGGCAGAGAGGCAGGCAGAGAGTGGGAGGAAGCAGGCTCCCTGTCAAGCGGAGAGCCTGATGCGGGGCTTGATCCCAGGACCCTGAGACCATGACCTGAGCCAAAGGCGGAGGCTTTAACCCACTGAGCCACCCAGGGGCCCTACAGTTCTATTTCAAAAGAGAGCATGAGTCATTGCTGAAGAACAGCTATAGAGAGTGGATGTTTCAGGACTCACAGCCGGTTAATGAAATGTGGAAAGGCTGCATGGAGGAGGGAGGTGCCTCCAAACTATGCCGTGAAGGTTGGAGAGAAGCTATACACTAGCTTCAGGAGAAGGAATTCTGTAAGACAAGGCAGAGGGGCAGGACATTCTGTGGTGTATTTAGCAACGACTCAATATTTTCATAAGGTTACTTGGGGCACTTGACTGGCTCAGTCAGTAGAGCATGAGACTCTTGATCTTGGAGTTGTGAGTTCGTGCTCCATGTTAGGTATAAAGATTACCTAAAAATAAAATCTTAAGAAAAAGAAAAAAAAGGTCGCTAGAATGCAATGTTATGGATATGGTTTAGTGGGGTTTGGCTGGGACTCAATGATTCTGATCTCTATGCAATCCAATGGCACTTTTTAATGACAAGTTTTCTGTTTTGCTTCCTTTACTGCACAATATATAAAAAATTGGTATAGTACTCTGACTGTAAAGGAACAATGAAAGGAGAATAATATTTAATAAAAAATATGTATTTGATTCTATTTGCAAGAGGTATCTAAGGTGGTCAAATTCTTAGACACAGAAAGTAGCATGGTGGTTGTTGGGGGCTGGGGGAAAACTGGCAAAGAGGAGTTATTCAGTAGCCACAGAGTTTCAGTTTAGCAAGATGCCAAGTTCTAGAGATATGTTGCACAACAATGTGCATATTCTTAACACTACTGTAGTGTGCATTTAAAAATGGTTAAGGTTGGGGACGCCTGGGTGGCTGAGTCGGTTAAGCCACTGCCGTCAGCTAAGGTCATGATCCCAGGGTCCTGAGATCTAGTCCTGCATCGGGCTCCTTGCTCTGCAGGGAGTCTGCTTCTCTCTGCCTCTGCCTGCTTATGTGCTCTCTCTCTCTCTCTCTCTCTCTCTCTGACAAATAAATAAAATCTTTAAAAAAAAAAAAAAAAGGTTCAGGTTGCCTGGGTGGCCCAGCTGGTTAAGCATCTAACTCTTGGTTTCAGCTCAGGAGACAACGCCCCGTCAGGCCCCACACTCAGCAAGGAGTCTACTTGACATTCTTTCTCCCTCTTCCTCTGTTCCTCCCCCTTGTGCTCTCTCTCTCTAAAGTAAATAAGTAAATCTTTTTAAAAAGGTTAAAATAGTGAATTTGTTATGTTTTTTAATTGCAATCAAAATATGAATTTAAATACAAAAATGTGGCTAACTGGATTTCTTTTTCATGTAGTTTGCTCAGGATTTGTTGTCTAAACTATATCTGAAGGGGCACCAGAGTGGCTAAAGAGGGTGGCTTCATTTTATTGATATGATGTATTACATGAATTGATTTTTGCGTGTTAAAACAATCTTGCATTCCTGGGGAAAATCGCACTGGTCTTGGTGTGCGTACTCCTCTCACATGTTGCTGGATTCCTTTCCCTAGAGTTTGTTGAGGATTTTGCATCTATTTACATAATCAATATTGATGTTTGTCTGTATTTTTATTTAGTTATTATTATTATTTTTTTTTTTTTTAGAGAAAGAGAGAGAGGGTAGGGAAGGGGCAGAGAGAATCCTAAATGGGCTCCATCCCCAGCACTGAGTCCAATGCAGGGCTTAATTCCACAATCCTGAGATCACGACCTGAGTCAAAATCAAGAGCCAGTCACTCAGCCAACTGGGCCACCCAGGTGTCCCGCTTGTGTACTCTTAAAGTGGGCTTTATAGTGTTTCTAAAAGCATGCTGCTGCTTCTGCCATCTTTTGAGAATTCTCCATGTGTGCTGTCAAAAAAATCCATTATTAAAAAGATTTGCTGGGGGCGTCCTGGTGGCTCAGTGGGTTAAAGCCTCTGCTTTCGGCTCAGGTCGTGATCCCAGGGTCTTGGGATTGAGCCCTGCATTGGGCTCTCTGCTCAGTGGGGAGCCTGCTTCTTTCTCTCTCTCTCTCTGCCTGCCTCTCTGCCTACTTGTGATCTCTGTCTGTCAAATAAATAAATAAAATCTTAAAAAAAAATATTTGTTGGGGGGAGCCTGGGTGGCTCAGTCAGTTAAGCCTCTGCCTTCGGCTCAGGTCATGATCCCAGGGTCCTGGGATCGAGCCCTGCATCAGGCTCCCTGCTCAGTGGGGAGCTTCCTTTGCCTTCTCACACTCCTCTTGCTTGTGTTCCCTCTCTCACTGTCTCTCTCTTTCTGTCAAATAAATAACATCTTAAAAAAAAAAAAAAGAAAGATTTGTTGGGGGAAAACTCCCAAAGGCATTGTTATATCTGAGCTTCCCTCTTTTTTTTTTTTTTTTTTTTTCTGACGGGTATTAAGCACTTTTGGTTCCATTATCAAAAAACAAATTAGTAACTATGATCTTTTGGTCTCAAAGATCTCAATTAACAACATGGGTAGTTAAATCTTTTTGTGTGTTTAGGTCTAACTCAGTCTTATATACATTAAACAGTTTGACAGTGTAAGACCTGATGATTTTATATTCATTCAGTCTTAGTTTAGTTTGTTTTGTGAAACAGAATAATACAGCTGTGGAAAAATCAATGGCTCTGGAATGATCAATGGCTCTGGAACGATCAATGGCTCTGGAACGATCTATCAGCACTTTTGCTACCAAAAAAAAAAGCTACAGCTTTATTTGCATGGTTCTTTACTGTTCTGAATGTTCTTGCCTGTTAAGCAAATTCTGTCAAAAAAATAAGTTAGGTAATAACTAGGAAATAATAGGGCCCAAACTTGTTTATGTGCTAAAACTGCTTAGAGAACATCAAGTAAGTACCAGCTATTGAGTTCAAAGAAATTCTCCTGGGCAAAACATTTCTCTGTAAGACTATTTATTATTTAGCTCTGAAATAGGTTTCCTAAAATATGTCAAGGGAGGATTACTTTTTAGTTTTTCTACATTTTATTTTTTAAAGATTTTATTTATCTATTCAGCAGAGAGTCAGCAAGAGAAGGAACACAAGCAGGGGAAGTGGGAGAGGGAGAAGCAGGCTTCCCCTGGAGCAGGGAGCCCTTGTGGCGCTTGATCCCTGGACCCTGGGATCATGACCTGAGCCACCCAGGCGCCCCAGTTTATTTATCTTTTTTTTTTTTTTAAAGATTTTATTTATTTGCCAGAGAGAGAGAGAGAGAGAATACACACAATCAGGCAGAGGCAGCGAGAGAAGCAGGCACCCCGCCCAGCAAGGAGCCCGATGAGGGACTCGATCCCAGGACCCCGGGATCATGACCTGAGCCGAAGGCAGCGTCTTAACCAACTGAGCCACCCAGGCATCCCTATTTATCTTTTATGTAGAGGCAATACATCTAGTGTTTGCTTGGATATTATAGTTTGATAAACAATTTTACACAGGGAATACAAAATTTAAGAAGTGAAGTTTTCAGGGTATGTGGTGCATTTCCAAAATCTATGTTTCTGCTGGTGGCGAACACTTGTACCTCTAGTTCCTGACAAAGTCCATCAACATGTTTTCAGGCATGTTAACTCCTGTTTGCCAGAAGCCTAACCAGGTAAAATTTCCACCCAATATACTAGGGATAGGGGCAGTGCTTGAAACTCTACCTTTGGGAGGATTTCTTATTTTATGTAAATTTCAATACAACGGAATGACTTCTGTTAAAACAAACAAACAAACTATACTCATTCTAGCTCCTCAGTGTTCCTTCTTTTAAAATAATAGTTTTCGTTAACTTTTTGGTGTCGTTTGCAAAAGTAATACAGACTCAATGTAGAACATGGGGAAAATTCAGTAGAGTATGAACATCATTTTGGTCCCACCGTTTACAGAGAGCAATGAACATTTTTCTTTAAACGGCGGTGGAATGTCGTGAACTGTTTTGTAAACGGTAATAATTTTTCCTTGTTTACCATTTTCGACTTTTTTTTTACGGTGTCTCCTGTCCGCCCTTTCTCCACAGACAGTGACCTTAGCTCTCCTCTGACCTCCTCCGCCCAGCCCAGGGCAGCTGAGGGGCAGCGCAGGCCGGGTCCCTTTAAGAGGCAGGCGCGCGGTGGGGGAGGGGGCTGTCCCCGCGCGGATTGGCCGAGCTTGGAGCCACGTGGCTCTCCTGGCAGCAGAGGCGGTGGCCCGGCTCCCGGAGGCTGTCGCGGAGCTTCCCCCCGCGGGTCCCCTGGAGGGGGCGCGGGCTCACCGATGTCCGTGAGGAGGTGCCTGGTGGGCCTCACCTTTTGCACCTGCTACCTGGCTTCTTACCTCACGAACAAGGTGAGGGGGGCGGGCGCGGGGTGGCGATGAGTGCACGTGGGACGTGGAACAGATGCGGCCTCCAGCTGTTAATCTGATTTTTCCTGATGGTGGTGGAGAGGAAGCTGACTCTGTATGGAATCCTTGTTCAGAAATAGGATTCGTTGGACTATACTGGCCCCGTTTCCCGCACTGTAAAGCATTCCTTACATTTCCTGGGACACCGAATTTTTTGATTGGCAAATTCCCAGGAACTTAATTTGGGGTTGTGCATACTACTTTTAAGGGAAAGAGAGCAACTGGCTCTTGTTCTCTCGGGGAAGGAAGAGAAGAGGAAATCTGACAAACCCTGCTTTCTTTTCTGAAACACACCCTGCCCCAGAAACCCACAAGATTCCGGAAGCTTTTACATAGAAAAGATCAGTCAATTTACATCTCCATCTTTCTCTTACACCACTAATTCCCAACCCTTTTTTTTAAATGGCATTTCCAGTATCTCTCAGACATTTCCAGTATATTCAAGAGTATTTTGTGGAATTATTTTTGAAAGTAAAATATAAAGCTAATTTTATTTAAAGTAATGTTATGAAACCCTTTTTATGAAAAGGCAGAAAAGCAGCGGTACCATGTTTTTTATTTTGTTAGGAGGGGCAAACTGGCCTTGGATTTGGTACCATGCAGGGAAATGTTGGACCTTTGTGAGCTAGAGTGGGGCATCCCCTCCTGTCCTGGACACTGGGCTTGACACCAAGACAAAGTGGTAATACCAGGCCCAGGACTACCTTTTCCCACTGTGGGATCTCCACCGCCTCCTAAACACCAAACCCCTCTTGCTCTCTGGGAAAAAAAAAAAAAACTTAACAAATAGCATTTCCTAATACCTTCTCTCTTAATGTGAGTGGCTGTCTTCTGTATACTTAGAGGATGTGCCAGAACCCTTCTTCCCCATGTCCAGTTGATTTTTAGTTCTGGTGATGGGCCTTTGAAGATCCATACATAGTACCTTTCTGGGAGGGAGTGATGGGTTTGCATCCTGGCTTCACTTAACCTGGTCTTTGGGGCCTTAATTTCTCTAAACCTAAGTTTTTTAACTTTAAGATGGGATTAGCAAATCCTCTTCAAAGAGCTGTTCTGAGGATTAATTGAAATGATGTTAGGTAGTTGGACAAGTGCCCCAAATCATGGTAAATAAGGTAAGTGGTAATTAGTCTAGGAGAAATGGAAGGAAAGAGAGACAATCTTTTGCTTATAGTACGACACAATGATTATTAGCTTTTAATGGATTTGTCTTTACCTCATTGGACAGGTAGCTAAACTAAAAGATTTATTGTGGCAACATTTCTGGAATAAGTGAATTTGTGAAATCCTGGCCTTTTCATTTAACTATTCTAATTTGTCTAGTAAACCTAATGAATGTATTGGTAATGTTTCATTTAAAAACAGAATGACCTTTCTTTTATATGTCTATAATCATCAGAAGGGGAAGAGTGACAAGTCTTTCATGCAAATCCACGAGCAGGAGCAGTGGTATTATTGGTTAACAAACAGTCAAACAAAGTATCTAAGCAGGCAGATAACATTTAGTTCACTGAAATGTATACCCTCTCACATTTGCATCTGTGGCATTATTTTTGTATTTATTGGGGTCCTGCACCATTTTCTGATCAGTGTAATAAAGACAGTACCCTCCATGTGCGTCATGCCTCAAGGTGCTAGATAAAAAGAAACCAAACTGTCATGTCTCTAGGAATATCTAATCTGAGTAATAGAAATCATAGATTCCCAAGGACCCTCAGAATTTAAATAGTAAACCCTATTCCATTTTCCACGATGGTTTGGAGTGCTTTGTTTCAGGGCTGTTGGGAGTGTCCGAGTAGATGGAAAGCAGAAGAATAATGGCAGAAGGCAGAGAGAAGGGGAGGTAAGGTTGTATAAAGGGGAAAAGGGAAGTGGACTCAGAGTAGGAGAAAGCAGATATGAGGCCCAGGTAGGGGGTGGAGAGGTAGTCCTTCACAATGGGATTCAGGTAGGGAGTTTGTAACTCTTAGATTATGCCATTGTCTCAACCAGGACAGTCATGCTTCTTTCTGGCTTCCATCGCAGGTTGGCTTGGACCAAGTCGGGGCCAAATGAGAAAAGAGCTGTACTGTGGACCCCCCAGCCTATAGCCTCTGCCAAATGAATTTTCTTTTGAATTAGTGTAGATCATTTTGTGTTTACAGGACAGGGTCCTCCCTTCCAGTTTTTAGAAGACTCTATGCTAGGGTTTTTTGTGTTTTTTTTTTTTTTTAAAGATTTTATTTATTTATTAGAGAGAGAGAGATCACAAGTAGGCAGAGAGTCAGGCAGAGAGAGAGGAGGAAGCAGGCTCCCTGACAAGCAGAGAGCCCGATGCGGGGCTTGATCCCAGGACCCTGAGATCATGACCTGAGCCGAAGGCAGCAGCCTAATCCACTGAGCCACCCAGGCGCCCCTGTGTTTTTTGTTTTTTTTTTTTAATTTTCCTATTTCTCTGTATAGTTTCCTTCTCAAACTATTTCTGTCTGTGGCTGTAAAAAGAAAATTCATTCAGGGACACCTGGGTGGCTCAGTGGGTTAAGCCTCTGCCTTCGGCGCAGGTCATGATCTCAGGGTCGTGGGATCAAGTCCCACATAGGGCCCTCTGCTCAGCGTGGAGCCTGCTTCCCCCACTTCTCTCTCTCTGCCTGCTTCTCTGCCTACTTGTGATCTCTCTCTGTCAAATGAATAAATAAAAATTAAAAAAAAAAATTCATTCAAAAAAATCTTGTCAATTTTAGTCTTATCGATTCTAGTGTAAATGAATGGTTGATTTTAGTTTGAACAGCAAGTGTTGACCTAGTCTGAGTGGCCTGTTGTTCTGGCCTCTGGGAGGTTCTGGCAATAACCAGGCTCAGGGCCCAGGCAGCCGCTGGTCCTTCTTCCCCTTACAGCTATTAAGCCTTCAGCCTGGAGACAAAGTGCACGTCTGTTCTCCTTTCAAAGGCTCCCAAATTGCTCCTTTTTCCTGGAGGTGCGCTCAATGCTATTCCACCAAAGAGCATTTTTTTCTGAGCAACACTTTTCAGTGACATGAAGAATTGCTGAATGAATAAATACTAGGACTTAGATTCCATTTGTCAGAGATTTCTTTCTTCACTCCTCTTTAGCCAGGTGAGGTTAGAGCTTCAGCATTTTTCCATCTACTCCCCAGTATCAACAAAAAAGCTCAGCAGACAATAAACTAAATAAATATTTACTATCTTCAGCAGACAATAAACTAAATAAATATTTACTATCTTCCTGAAGGTTGTTAAGGGTGAGGAGCCCAGGGCCTAGACAGTCACTTTATCCTTTCTCTAGCTCTGTTTTGGAATGAAAATATCAGGGAAAGGTGGGGCAGAGCATATGGAATTATGTGAGTAAATTGATTTCAGAAAAGAAGGAGGTCCATCTCTAGTGAATATAGACCAGAGCTCAGCAGTTAGTTGTGATTGTGACATTTAGGAGCTCATATGAGGAGGCCTATGTGTAGGTTAATTCATGGGAAAAAGTAAGTATGTAAATTTGCCCAATACCAGTCCATTCTGTTTTCTAGATCATGTGAAAAATCAGTAGAGTCTCTGTCTATAGCCTTTAATGGCTTTTAAACTTTACAAAAATTCTTAGTGTTCAGTAGTAGGAAAAAATAGGAAGAGATACCCAGAAAACAAAACACAGCCCCCTCATTCATGAAATATTGTAAAAGACATAATTGAAATACATGTTGACCTTAGTTGGGTTGGTTTTACAAAATCCTTAAAATGTGAAAGTGCAAAAAAAATTATGATGCAGAATTAGTTTAAAAAAAAAAAGATCTTTAGAATGCAAAAGCCAAATTCCCCAAATGAAGGAAAAATGAAGGAAATAAAGACTACTAAGATGCAGTTCTTGCTTGAAGAGAAACAGAGAAGGGGTTTGGATTTTTAGATAAATTGGACCGTAGATAACGTGGATATCGAGAAAAGAGACACGGCCAGTGTTCTCCAGTTGGTGCAATTCCAACATGGCACTTCTGAGGTCTGGAAAGAGGCTATGTGGTTGGGCATCCACAACAGAGACCCAGCTGCTGTTCATCCCAATTTGCTGATGGTCCCAGTTCCATTTCTCCACCAAGAGGTGGTCAGGGTTCTGACAATACTGGGGAAAAACAGACCCAGTCTTTTTACTATAACTTGGAAGGTCTTTCTTTTTAAAAATTTTTGCCCATGTGTGATTTGCGGGGGGGGAGGGGGGGCGTAGATAAAAGCCTTTTTGAAACTTAAGTGTATTTATGTTTCTTCAATAGGGATTTATTTAGTTATACAATCAACTCTCGATAATTTGAAAATGTCCATTAATCTGGTATTTGTTTTTCAGTATGTCCTGTCTGTCTTGAAATTTACCTACCCTACATTATTCCAAGGGTGAGTATCTTTTATGCTCTTTATACACATTTGTGGGACATATCCAACCAGCATCATTAGCTGTTCTTTAAAATATTTTTAGGAATGCCTCGTGGCTCAGTAGATTAAGCTTCTGACTCTTGATTTCTGCTCAGGTCATTATCTCAGGATTGTGAGATCGATCCCCACTGTGGGCTACAAGCTCAGCAGGGAGTCTGCTTGAGATTCTTTCTCTCCCTCTCCCCCTCCCCCTGCTCCTATGCTCTCTCTCTCTCAAATAAGGAAATAAATCTTTTAAAAAATATTTTTAATGAGTACATAGATTTTTTAAATGAAATAGACATACCGTAATTTGTTTAGCCATTCTATTAATGGGCATTTAAATTGTGTCCTATTTTGGGGGGAAATAAAAACAACAATGTTATCAGAGATTTTTATATTCCAATCTGTCAAATTTCTAGCTATTTCTTTGGGATGGATTCCTATATAAGAAATTTGGGTTAAAGAATATGAACTTTGGGGCGCCTGGGTGGCTCAGTGGTTTAAGCCTCTGCCTTCGGCTCAGGTCATGATCTCAGGGTCCTGGGATTGAGCCCCGCATCGGGCTCTCTGCTCAGCAGGGAGCCTGCTTCCCTTCCTCTCTCTCTGCCTGCCTGTCTGTCTACTTGTGATCTCTGCCTGTCAAATAAATAAATAAAATCTCTAAAAAAAAAAAAAAAGAATATGAACTTTATTAGTATCCCTCCTGAATATTAAATTCTTTTCCAGAAATGTGTTACCAATTTACATTGTCTGTGGGAGTTTCTATAATATTGTATTCAAACCATGACTGTTTTTTCCTTCTCTGATGATTTTGTGAACCGCAAATGGTATCACATTGTTTTGTCTTATCATTTTTCATAAAGTTGGACCATTTTCTTTTCTTTTCTTTTCTTTAAAGATTTTATTTATTTGACAGACAGAGATCACAGGTAGGCAGAGAGGCAGGCAGAAAGAGCGGGGGGTGGGCGTGGGGGAAGCAGATTCCCTGCTGAGCAGAGAGCCCGATGCGGGACTCAATCCCAGGACCCTGAGATCATGACCTGAGCTGAAGGCAGAGGCTTAACCCACTGAGCCACCCAGGTGCCCCGAAGTTGGACCATTTTCTTATGTGTGTTACCCACTTGTACCGCTTTTATCAGTGAATTATCTATTTGTGCTTTTGCCCTTTTGTTTTTACTGGGGTTTTAGTATTTTTCTTATTAATTTAATGACTTCTTATTTTAAGAATGCCAACCACTTGTCCATCATGTTTATTAGAAATTTCATTTTTTGCAGTTTGTCTTTTGGCTTTTCATTTTGTTCATACTTATTTTGATTATTCAAATATATTTTTAAGTGCCATCGTAGAAAATTTATTGCTAAGACATAAGAAGGAAGCAACAGTGAACTACAGATAAATCTAGTGTGTGGTCTTATGATTGAAGAATGCCATTCTTAGAAAAAAGATAGAAGGAAAAAGGGGTGTGGACATAGGTCAACAATGGAGATGTGGTAGAAGCAGCATGGAGTGCTCTGATACTCAAATTTCCCTTCCTCACCTCATCCTCACTCAAGCTTTTTAAGTAATGAATTTAATTAGTTAAGATTTATTTATTTGAGAGAGAGAGAGAGAGAGAGAGCGTGAGCTTGGGAGAGAGGAACTGAGGGAGAGAAAAGAGAGAAACTCAAGCTGACTCTGTGCTGAGGGCAAACCTGATGCGGGGCTTGATCTCACAACCCTGAGATCACGACCTGAGCTGAAACCAAGAGTTGGAGGCTCAACTGACTGCCACCTAGGCACTCCTCCACTCAAGCTTTAAAAAAAAATTGTCTTAGGGTTCCTGGGGGGCTCAGTCAGTTAAGCGTCTGCCTTCGGCTCAGGTCATGATCCCAGGGTCCTTGGATCGAGCCCCGCATCCGGCTCCCTTCTCAGTGGGGAGCCTGCTTCTCTCTCTCCCTCTGCCTCTCCCCCTGCTTATGCTTGCTTTCTTTGTCTCTCTCTCCCATATAAATAAATGAAATCTCTTAAAAATTTTTAAATTTTTATAGTGGACAAATATTGATGATTGATTGGTACCACTACTTTCATGTTTATTTTTCTCCATCTCAAGCTCATGTAGATATTTACCTACATTTCATTACAGCTTTATTCAATTTTAATCATTCTTCATTTATTTAAATGTGTGGTATAGTGTGAGGAAATCATTCCTCCCATAGTTTTGCTTATATTAGCTCTCTCTTTTTTTTTTTTTTAAAGTTTATTTATTGGGACATCTGGGTGGCTTGGTCATTATGCGGCTGCCTTCAGCTCAGCTCATGATCCCAGGGTCCTGAGATCAAGCCCCGCATTGGGCTCCCTGCTTGGAGGGAAGCCTATTTCTCCTTCCCCGTCTTCCCCAGCTTGTGTTCCTTGTATAGCTGTCTCTCTCTGTCAGATAAATAAATAAAATTTTTTTTAAAAAAGGTTTATTTGAGAGAGATAGAGAGCATGAGTGGGAGGAGCAGAGGGTGAGGGAGGGAGAATCTCAAGCAGACTCTGCTCAGCCTGGAGCCCGATGGAGGGCTTGAACTCACAACCCCAAGATCAAGAGTTGCACACTCCACTGACTGAACCAGCCAGGTGCCCCATATACTAGCCCTATATTTTTATTTTGTTATATAATCCTTCCTTTTGCCTTTGGGTTATTAATATATTTAAAGTTATTTTTCTAGGGTCTGTCTTTGAGTATTTGTCAATTTTTATGAAAAGGGGCTAGTACTAAATTGTTTTAATTATTATAGCATTTAGATATGTCATAGAGCAGGACATCCCTCATTCTTCTTTAAAAAAGAAAATTATACAAATGTGAACAAGAAAACAGGGGTCATGATCTTTGCCAGACAAGGTTCAGGACAAAAAGCACTAACCATATGAAGGTGTTTTAGGATGCTAAAGATGTGTTAGGATGCTAAAGCATGCAGTTCAAAATGAAAAGACATGTTAGAGATGTCATGAAAAGACATGTTGGAGTGTGGGGTTCAAAACAAAAGTAAAACAGTGATGAATATCTATGAGCCAGACAATGGGGCAGGAGTATCAGGAATACATAGAAACATGCAAATAATAGGAAACAAATTTGCCACTATTTTCCCATAACAGTTCAATTGAAAAAACAAAAAACTAGTGTTCATGTATGTGTATGTATGTATGTATATATATAAACTAAGTAATACAATTAATAGGTAAATATCAAAGGCTGTATCTTTTAAAATAGAGACTATACCCTCTTCTCAAATGTCCAGGGAATACTCACTATGAATAAAACAAGCAATAACTTGCCCAAAGTAACACTTATACAATCTTAGTGCCCTAAATCTAGATTTTATTTGATCTTTTTAAAGATTTTATTTATTTGTTTGAGAGAGAGTGAACGAGAGAGAGAGCGAGAAAGCGTGCACAAGCGGTGAGGACGGGTAGAGGGAGTAGGTGAAGCAGACTCCCCGCTGAGCAGGGAACCTGAGGCAGAGCTCGATCGCAGGACCCCAAGATCATGACCTAAGCTGAAGGCAGATGCTTAGCTGACTGAGCCACCCGGGGGCCCCTAAAGCTAGAATTTAATATCGAAACCAAAAATCTCTATTTACAAATGATTCTTCACTCAAAAGAAAGACATAATTAAAACACTATTGAAAAATCGTATTTTGCCTATAAGATTTGCAAAATAAAATTTCAAAATTTGGTAACACAGCCCTGATGAAGATGTAGAAAACAGGTGCTCTGCTACATGGATCTGGGGCAGCAAATTGGTACAGTATCTGTGAGTGACACTCTGGCACCGTGTAACACTGTTGCCAAGGGTCTGAATCCTTCAATTCCACGGTTCTACTTCCAGGAATTTATCTGAGAGGTTTGCTTGCACTTCTGTAAATGAAATATGTACAAAATGAAATATGCAGCTCTGTGACTGCAAGCATTTTTTAAACAACCTGATTTTCATCTTTACAGAACCCATTAAATATATTATATCCTTAATGGAATACTATGCAAATGATAAAAATAATAAGGACACTCAGGTATTGAAAAGATTTTCGAAATACATTTAATGGGGGACAGAAGCAAGTCTGTAACAGGGTAGCACAATAGTATCGTGTAGAAGTGTGTGTGTATGTTTTCCTTATTTAAAAATAGGTGAAGTGGGGTGCCTGGGTGGCTCAGTGGGTTAAAGCCTCTGCCTTCGGCTCAGGTCGTGATCCCGTGGTCCTGGGATCGAGCCCCATGTTGGGCTCTCTGCTCAGTGGGGAGCCTGCTTCCTCCTCTCTCTCCCTCTGCCTGCCTCTCTGCCTACTTGTGATCTCCTCTCCGTGTCAAATAAATAAATAAAATCTTAAAAAAAAAAATAAGTGAAGAAACTACCCAGGGCAGTTAACCATAGGAAAAGGTGGAAACGGTGCAGAGAGTGGACAGGCAAGGGAAAAAGACTTTTGAGCACTTCCTTTTGTATACTTTTGGATTTTTGTTCTTTATGGTATCACCAATATATTATTTTGGGTAAACTTCAGAATGATTTTGTCAGGTTTCTCTCAGATACTTCATAATAAAACTTTAAAAAATATTGTTTATGATTACATGCACAGTAGCCGCCTTATCCGTGGTTCCTCTTTCTGCGGTTTTGGTCACCCACGGTCAGTTCTGTCTGGAAGTAGATGATTCTCCCCTGACTTGCTGTCAGAGGTGAATGGTAGCCTACAGGTACATCAGAATGCCTACATCATTCACCTCACGTCACCTCACCATCTAGTCATTTATCCTCTTGCAGCATCGTGAGAAGGGTGAATACAGAGATTTTGAGAGAGAAACCACATTCACATAACTTTTATTACAGCATATTGTTATAATTGTTCTAGTTTATTATTGGTTATTGTTCATTTCCTACGGGGCCTAATTTATAAGTTAAACTTTATCATAGGCACGTTTGTGTAGGAAAAAACACAATACGTATTTGGTTCAGCTCCATCTGCAGTTTAAGATCCCCAGGCATCCCCTGGGGATCTTAAAATGCATCCCCCACTAGTAAGGGGGTAGGGGAGCCACTGTATTTCAGTCAATAAAGCTGGGGTGTTGTTTTCTCTTTTAGTGAACAGGAATCATTTTCTGGTCCTGCCTGTCTGACAGTTCTCTCCAGGAAGAGAGACTTAGGGAACTTAGGTGGGAAGGGAGGATCTCTGCCTCCGGATTGCGTATCCCTGGATGGGTCAGACTGAATGTCCCCCTCTGACAGATTGTAAGGTCTACAAATGAAAGAATTTTTTTTTAATCTCTTTTGTCACCAGAGTATCCCCAGTGCTCACAACAATGCCTGGCATGTAGGAGGTGCATGGTAGGGCGGACTAACTCATTCTACAAATCCTCATTGGGTACATACTACGTGCCCGGCCCTGTTTTAGACACGGGAGGTACATCACTGGGGAAAGCAAAGATCCCTGCCTTCGTGCAGCTTTCTTTTCTCTCCTGCCTATCCCTTAAATTTACTGCAGTGGATGGTTCCTTCCATTGAGTTGCCTGACTGAAGAATTCCCAGAAACCTGGGAGTCAATTCCCTTGTCTCCTTCATCCCCAACATCTAATTAACCACCAGGACCTCCTAAACATCTTTAGAATCTGTCTGCCTTCTTCATCCAAATTGCCCCTTCCCAGGCCACTGTCATCTCTCAAATTACTCTTGACATTTTGAACTGGGTAATCCTCTGTTATGGGGCTGTCCCACATGCTGTAGGAGGTTTGGCAACATTGCTGGCTATGACTCACCAGATCCCAGTAGCAACCCATCCCTTCCCCCACCCCCAGTTGTGACAACCAAAAATGTCTCTAGATGCTGCTGAGTGTCCCCTAGGGAGAACCATATGGTTGAGTGCCACTGCTCTAGGTAACATTGTTGGAGGGCATGACCCACATCTGTCTGCCCTGCTTGTCTGGGTCAGTGAAGGTTTCACAAAGGAGGCGTAAAAATGGGATCTTACAGGATGAACAGGTGTTCGCCAATACACAAGGAGATGGGAGCGTTTGATGGGTCAAGAGGACAGCACATGGAGACTCTTGGAAGTATGGCAAGGCCTGGCACATTTCTGAGGCTATGGGCTGTTCCCGATGGCTGGAATGCCTGTAGCAGGAGGACAAGCTGGTCCTGGAAAGGGGGGACTGCAAGTCTGGGAAGGCTTGTGTATCACACACAATTGACTTTATCTTAGAGGCTAGCCTTTCTCCCGCGTTACGTCACAAGACACGGGTGTGTTGTAATCACTTCTGAGGTGAGGTGTCTCGAGTCATAAATGAGGTTTTGAGGTCTATGAATGACTCACCTAAAATAAAGCAATTAGAGTGAAACAAGGGGAAGTTACACCACTAGTACCCTCTTGCTCATTTTGAATTTTGCTGTGCTTTGTGTCATGGGAGGGGCAGGGGTGTGTCATTTACAGCCTGGGCTCCCCCTGGGTTCTGCATGCTGAGGAAGTGTGTCTCCCGTGAGCTCTGTGGGCCCCTGTGTGTCATGTCAGAAAAGAGATTGGGAGTTGCTGCCAGCCACCTGGGAAGAATCAACCATTTTGAAAATGAGCGAGTGGCAACATTAAGTTTGCATTCTAGAACAAGCCTTGTGGCTGCAAGGTAGAATGTGTGTTGCGGGACATTCCTGGGGATAGGGACACTGTTAGCGGACTGATGCTAGGTTTGGGTGCGCCATGATGGGAGTCTGCATTAGGCAGAGGCCGAAGGGATGGGGAGGGGAAGGCATGGCCCTTGAGAGCTGTGATGGGGATTACGTGCAACAGGATTTTCTGGGCTTTGGTGTGGCTGATTAGGGACAGGGGCGGTAGACCAGGATGGGGGAGGGAAGTTCAAGGTAATGTTATAGGCAGGTTATCATTGTGAGTCTGTCAGGGTGGTGGTCTTCGGGGGGAGCACAGGGATTTGGGAATCATCAGTGCAGAGCAATAAGGGAAGCAGGGACTGTGGGTGAGATCGGTCAGGGACTAGTCTAGAATAAGAAAGAAGAATATCAGTGTCAGCATGGAATGGTACAGCTGAACTCGAGAGTAGAACAAGTTGAGAAGGAGGGATCTGGGAACTGGGATGCCAGTTAGGGGAGAGTGGGAGAACTGAGTTGGAGGGAGGCTTGCTATGTATATTTGTGGGAACCAGTGGGTCTGCTGAGGCTGGATTGTGTTTGAGGCCGTAGCACTCTCTCAAATTCACATGGGTTCATATCCTTTTCAGGTGGCAGACCTTAGTTGGTGGACTTTTGCTTCATGTGTCATGGAAGCTGGGCTGGGCCGAGATCAACAGCAGCTCAAGGTAGAACAACATTTTCTTGCTTGATTCATGATTCATACCCTGGCTTCTTTTCACATTATTTAATTTCTTCTTCTTCTTTTTTTTTTAAATTTATTTTTTTATTTTTTATAAACATATATTTTTATCCCCAGGGGTACAGGTCTGTGAATCGCCAAGTTTACACACTTCACAGCACTCACCCCAACACATACCCTTCCCAATGTCCATGACCCCACCCTGACCCGCAACCCCCTCCCCCCAGCAACCCTCAGTTTGTTTTGTGAGACTACGAGTCACTTATGGTCTGTCTCCCTCCCAATCCCATCTTGTTTCATTTATTCTTCTCCTATCCCCTTAACCCCCCATGTTGCATCTCCACTTCCTCATATCAGGGAGAACATATGATAGTTGTCTTTCTCCGATTGACTTACTTCACTAAGCATGATACCCTCTAGTTCCATCCACGTCGTCGCAAATGGCAAGATTTCATTTCTTTTGATGGCTGCATAGTATTCCATTGTGTATATATACCACATCTTCTTTATCCATTCATCTGTTGATGGACATCTAGGTTCCTTCCATAGTTTGGCTATTGTAGACATTGCTGCTGTAAACATTCGGGTGCATGTGCCCCTTCGGATCACTACGTTTGTATCTTTAGGGTAAATACCCAGTAGTGCAATTGCTGGGTCATAGGGTAGCTCTATTTTCAACATTTTGAGGAACCTCCATGCTGTTTTCCAGAGTGGTTGCACCAGCTTGCATTCCCACCAACAGTGTAGGAAGGTTCCCCTTTCTCCACATCCTCACCAGCATCTGTCATTTCCTGACTTGTTAATTTTAGCCATTCTGACTGGTGTGAGGTGATATCTCATTGTGGTTTTGATTTGTATTTCCCTGATGCCGAGTGATATGGAGCACTTTTTCATGTGTCTGTTGGCCATCTGGATGTCTTCTTTGCAGAAATGTCTGTTCATATCCTCTGCCCATTTCTTGATTGGATTATTTGTTTTTTGGGTGTTGAGTTTGCTAAGTTCTTTATAGATTTTGGACACTGGCCCTTTATCTGATATGTCGTTTGCAAATATCTTCTCCCATTCTGTCAGTTGTCTTTTGGTTTTGTTAACTGTTTCCTTTGCTGTGCAAAGGCTTTTGATCTTGATGAAATCCCAATAGTTCATTTTTGCCCTTTCTTCCCTTGCCTTTGGCGATGTTCCTAGGAAGATGTTGCTGCAGTTGAGGTCGAAGAGGTTGCTGCCTGTGTTCTCCTCAAGGATTTTGATGGATTCCTTTCTCACATTGAGGTCCTTCATCCATTTTGAGTCTATTTTCGTGTGTGGTGTAAGGAAATGGTCCAGTTTCATTTTTCTGCATGTGGCTGTCCAATTTTCCCAACACCATTTGTTGAAGAGGCTGTCTTTTTTCCATTGGACATTCTTTCCTGCTTTGTCGAAGATTAGTTGACCGTAGAGTTGAGGGTCTGTTTCTGGGCTCTCTATTCTGTTCCGTTGATCTATGTGTCTGTTTTTGTGCCAGTACCATGCTGTCTTGATGATGACAGCTTTGTAATAGAGCTTGAAGTCCGGAATTGTGATGCCACCAACTTTGGCTTTTTTTTCAATATTCCTTTGGCTATTCGAGGTCTTTTCTGGTTCCATATAAATTTTAGGATTATTTGTTCCATTTTTTTGAAAAAAATAGATGGTATTTTGATAGGAATTGCATTAAATATGTAGATTGCTTTAGTTAGCATAGACATTTTCACAATATTTATTCTTCCAATCCATGAGCATGGAACATTTTTCCATTTCTTTGTGTCTTCCTCAATTTCTTTCATGAGTACTTTATAGTTTTCTGAGTATAGATTCTTAGCCTCTTTGGTTAGGTTTATTCCTAGGTATCTTATAGTTTTGGGTGCAATTGTAAATGGGATTGACTCCTTAATTTCTCTTTCTTCTGTCTTTTTGTTGGTGTAGAGAAATGCAACCGATTTCTGTGCATTGATTTTATATCCTGACACTTTACTGAATTCCTGTACAAGTTCTAGCAGTTTAGGAGTGGAGTCTTTTGGGTTTTCCACATATAGTATCATATCGTCTGCGAAGAGGGATAGTTTGACTTCTTCTTTGCCGATTTGGATGCCTTTAATTTCCTTTTGTTGTCTGATTGCTGAGGCTAGGACTTCTAGTACTATGTTGAATAGCAGTGGTGATAATGGACATCCCTGCCATGTTCCTGACCTTAGCGGAAAAGCTTTCAGTTTTTCTCCATTGAGAACGATATTTGCGTCTATGGCCATACCACCCTGAACGCGCCTGATCTCGTCTGATTTCGGAAGCTAAGCAGGGTCGGGCCTGGTTAGTACTTGGATGGGAGAACGATATTTGCGGTGGGTTTTTCATAGATGGCTTTGATAATATTGAGGTATGTGCCCTCTATTCCTGCACTTTGAAGAGTTTTGATCAGGAAGGGATGCTGTACTTTGTCAAATGCTTTTTCAGCATCTATTGAGAGTATCATATGGTTCTTGTTCTTTCTTTTATTAATGTGTTGTATCACATTGATTGATTTGCAGATGTTGAACCAACCTTGCAGCCCTGGAATAAATCCCACTTGGTCATGGTGAATAATCCTTTTAATGTACTGTTGAATCCTATTGGATAGTATTTTGGTGAGAATTTTTGCATCTGTGTTCATCAAGGATATTGCTCTGTAGTTTTCTCTTTTTTTTTTTTTTTAAGATTTTATTTATTTATTTGACAGATAGAGATCACACTGGTAGGCAGAGAGGCAGGCAGAGAGAGGAAGGGAAGCAGGCTCCCCGACGAGCAGAGAGCCCAATGCGGGGCTCAATCCCAGGACCCTGGGATCATGACCTGAGCTGAAGGCAGAGGCTTTAACCCACTGAGCCACCCAGGCGCCCCTGTAGTTCTCTTTTTTGATGGGATCCTTGTCTGGTTTTGGGATCAAGGTGATGCTGGCCTCATAAAATGAGTTTGGAAGTTTTCCTTCCATTTCTATTTTTTGGAACAGTTTCAGGAGAGTAGGAATTAGTTCTTCTTTAAATGTTTGGTAGAATTCCCCCGGGAAGCCATCTGGCCCTGGGCTTTTATTTGTTTGGAGATTTTTGATGACTGTTTCAATCTCCTTACTGGTTATGGGTCTGTTCAGGTTTTCTATTTCTTCCTGGTTCAGTTGTGGTAGTTTATATGTCTCTAGGAATGCATCCATTTCTTCCAGATTGTCGAATTTGTTGGCGTAGAGTTGCTCATAGTATGTTCTTATAATTGTCTTTATTTCTTTGGTGTTAGTTGTGATCTCTCCTCTTTCATTCATGATTTTATTTATTTGGGTCTTTTCTCTTTTCTTTTTGATAAGTCTAGCCAGGGGTTTATCAATCTTATTAATTCTTTCAAAGAACCAGCTCCTAATTTCGTTGATTTGTTCTATTGTTTTTTTGGTTTCTATTTCATTGATTTCTGCTCTGATCTTTATGATTTCTCTTCTCCTGCTGGGTTTAGGGTTTCTTTCTTGTTCTTTCTCCAGCTCCTTTAGGTGTAGGGTTAGGTTGTGTACCTGAGACCTTTCTTGTTTCTTGAGAAAGGCTTGTACCGCTATATATTTTCCTCTCAGGACTGCCTTTGTTGTGTCCCACAGATTTTGAACTGTTGTGTTTTCATTATCATTTGTTTCCATGAATTTTTTCAATTCTTCTTTAATTTCCTGGTTGACCCATTCATTCTTTAGAAGGATGCTGTTTAGTCTCCATGTATTTGGGTTCTTTCCAAATTTCCTCTTGTGATTGAGTTCTAGCTTCAGAGCATTGTGGTCTGAAAATATGCAGGGATTGATCCCAATCTTTTGATACCGGCTGAGACCGGATTTAGGACCGAGGATGTGATCTATTCTGGAGAATGTTCCATGTGCACTAGAGAAGAATGTGTATTCTGTTGCTTTGGGATGAAATGTTCTGAATATATCTGTGATGTCCATCTGGTCCAGTGTGTCATTTAAGGCCTTTATTTCCTTGTTGATCTTTTGCTTGGATGATCTGTCCATTTCAGTGAGGGGAGTGTTAAAGTCCCCTACTCTTATTGTATTATTGTTGATGTGTTTCTTTGATTTTGTTATTAATTGGTTTATATAGTTGGCTTCTCCCACATTAGGGGCATAGATATTTAAAATTGTTAGATCTTCTTGTTGGACAGATCCTTTGAGTATGATATAGTGTCCTTCCTCATCTCTTATTATAGTCTTTGGCTTAAAATCTATTTGATCTGATATAAGGATTGCCACCCCTGCTTTCTTCTGATGTCCATTAGCATAGTAAATTGTTTTCCACCCCCTCACTTTAAATCTGGAGATGTCTTCGGGCCTAAAATGAGTTTCTTGTAGGCAACATATAGATGGGTTTTGTTTTTTTATCCATTCTGATACCCTGTGTCTTTTGATTGGGGCATTTAGCCCATTAACATTCAGGGTAACTATTGAGAGATATGAATTTAGTGCCATGGTATGGCCTGTAAGGTGACTGTTACTGTATATTGTCTCTGTTCCTTTCTGATCTACTACTTTTAGGCTCTCTCTTTGCTTAGAGGACCCCTTTCAATATTTCCTGTAGAGCTGGTTTGGTGTTTGCAAATTCTTTCAGTTTTTGTTTGTCCTGGAAGCTTTTTATCTCTCCTTCTATTTTCAATGATAGCCTAGCTGGATATAGTATTCTTGGCTGCATGTTTTTCTTGTTTAGTGTTCTGAATATATCATGCCAGCTCTTTCTGGCCTGCCAGGTCTCTGTGGGTAAGTCTGCTGCCAATCTAATATTTTTACCATTGTATGTTACAGACTTCTTTTCCCGGGCTGCTTTCAGGATTTTCTCTTTGTCACTAAGACTTGTAAATTTTACTATTAGGTGACGGGGTGTGGACCTATTCTTGTTGATTTTGAGGGGGGGTTCTCTGAACTTCCTGGATTTTTTTTTTTTTTAAAGATTTTATTTATTTATTTGACAGAGAGAGATCACA